AGCGTGTCATAGGCTACTTTTCGTTATCGATCGATATCGATTTTATCGATTTTTTGCAAAATTTGAGCTACAGGGCTGGGAGTTGGCACATGGGGGGGGGGGTAATGGAACATGCTGATTACAAATATATTATTGACAGGCCCGGGCGGAGCGGGGTTTGCCAACTAGCTATGAATAATAATAGTTGTCATCACTATGCTTTGGCATGACTCGCGACTTATGCCCTAAAAAGGGAAGCTTGCTAGCCATTCTGTCATATGATGATTTTTATGTGATTGACCGATCGGGGACATACTTGTACTCAATGTAGAAGTTTTCTTTTGACATCGAATGTTCGAATGAATGTTCTTAAATATTCGAATATTCGAATGACTGTCTTTCAAGTTGCTCGAATATTCGAATATTCGAATAACTGTCTTTTAAAATTCCTCGAATATTCGAATATTTGGATAACTGTCTTTTGAAATTCCTCGAATATTCGAATATTCGTATAACTGTCTTTTAAAATTCCTCGAATAAACGAATATTCGAATAACTCATTTTTCCAAATTTTCGAATGAACGAATTATTCGAATACAGGCCTTTCTCATTTATTCGACTATTCGAATAATCGAATAATTGGACTTCCTCGAATATTCGATTATTCGAATATTCGAATAGTCGAATATTTCGAATAAATTATTCGAACACGAATATTCGGTTCTAACTATACTGTACGCGTGAAATTAGGGTATCACTTTTCTATGTCGCACATTCAAATGAGACCAAAAAATTTGAACTTTAGTGTCGATAAAAGGAATCAACTCACAAGGGATATCAGATAAAACTTAGAATTGCGTTTCGAGATGAAACACGATTCTAAGTTTTATCTGTCTTATCTAAGCTTCGAATGCTGATTCCAAATATGCTGTTCCTAGCTGCGGCATTCATTCTGAAGTGAGTTATCGATTTTCTTCTGTGCAAAATTTGTATACTCTTTGACCTAATGGCGGTATCATCACCTAAGTGCCAAATGACCATAAAATCTCTTGTACAAAAGACTCAAGATACAATTTTAGTGTCCCAGCACCGTTTTTAGTCAGATTTCCATCTACAAGCAGCCCTACCATATGGAAAAGTATGCAGTTTCGCGCAGAAAAAGCTCATAACTTCCTTCAGAATAATGCGCCGCAGCTAGGAACAGTATATTTGGAAGAAGCGTTCGGAGCTGATTCCAAATATATGTGTCTGATCTCGAAACGCGATACTAAGTTAGGTGTCATCTCTTGTTCCTAACTGTTATATGCACAATCTGAGTTCTAACGATCGCATTACAATCAATTTCAAGGATTTTCTTGTGAGCATTATTTTGAAGGAGCCTACAATTTCTTCCAACGAAAAAGCACATACTTGATGTTTTACAGATTTCCAGCCGAAATCCAAGAATTAGTTTTAACCATATCGTTTCTAAAAATCCTGTACTCACCAAAACTGTATGTGAAACTCTCATCTCAGATTGATAAATTACTTGCGATTGAACAAATCTGTAGCAAAAATATGCGCAAGCACTGACAATCATTGAAAAGTAGAAGGATGCATTTATCATACTCTTTCTGCAACTTCGGGTTTTTTTATGGAGTTAGGGTAGGTGCACGGTAGAGGATGCAAATCAAGATTCTGCGTGAAACTTTGCGCATGCGGTTATCTGATGTGCCGACCACAGATATCCTGCTTGTCCCATATGATAAAGTCTTTTTTGAGTAAATTGACTCGAAAAGGGAGAAAATATTTATTGAGCTTGCGAGTTACCATAACTCCACGATAAGACGCTGGAGCGAGCAAGCAATACATTCGCAATCAGCATGCGCGAAACCCCTCAGGCAAACTTTTGGGAAAACTTGGAACTTCAATCCACCCACCTTATATTTACACGAGAATGACTTTGTCTTTCAAAAACAAAATGATATTCATGTTCAGGGCGCTAAATAACTCCCTTAGACGAATTTTAGAGAAAATCCTTGGTTTCGACCTAACACGGTATATCTACTGTAGCTTCAAGTAGTAGCCTCACCATGCAAGAAGATTATGGTACTTGTGATCATGTCGGATAACTCCACGGACCAAATTCAAGCAAAATTCGCGACTAATTTGGAAGCCCAAATACTGGAACAGCGCCAACATTTCTTGTGGCCTTGCGCTCAAACCTTTCAGAATACAAACCGAACCATCTGCAAATGAAAAAAACCCGGGCTGAAAGTACTATAAATACTTACAATTGACAAGCAGTTTGAAGATGTTATGTCCTTTGAAAATGCCGAATCGTGCAGAAGTATACCTATGAACAAGTAACCAGCGATTTAGTCGTAGCGACTTCATCGCCACTTCACCAGTCTAGACGGCGAAATTGCGTGAGGTATGCCCAACCCTTTATTGTGTGTTCAACATAAAATGTAGATTTATGGTGATAATGTGCAAGTCAATCATGTCGGCATTCTTCTTCATTCAGGTTTTTTCATTCAAAATCACAGCTAAAATTCATTGATTAAAGTCATATCTATTGTGTGCTATTGAAAATTCCAAAAAATTCTAAAAATTTCAACTAAAAATTCCAAAAAATTTTGAAGATTGAAAATCTACGGCTTATTTTGATAGCGAAATGTAAGCAAACCATAGAGACCAAACTATTGCTTGTGGTCCGAAAGTTCGTAGCGTTTAGATCTATCCTAAAATTTCTCAAAATAAAGACAAACCAACGCTTCAAACATTGTTTGATGCAGATTTTCATTCTCTTGCTTATTTATCCTATTCCGATTCTACTTGAATTCGCTCGATAATGTTAATTATCCATGAATTTTACCCACCCTTGTCTTAGTTATTTTTTAGAAAGGTCATTCATGAATTTTGGAAGAGCTTTGATCACTGTTGGACAGAGTAAAAAAAAATTCAAGGCATCGATTCTGTTGGCATTCACATCTGATTACTCAAAACTTCACGATGATTCGTACGCTATCAAATCCCGTATCTGGTCATCTCCACCTCATGAAACACCAAAAAACGAGCAACTAAGGTTTATTCGAGGCAGACGCTTTCCTCTTTTAGATACGTTTTTTCTTGATTCGTGAATGTTTGAAAGATCAACTTCTAGTTTTTGAATGCACTCAAAACTGTGCACGGAAATGTCGAATCCAATATTTTAAAGCGGTAAGCACTCACTTGCTTAGTTAAATTTGTATTTAATCATAATCGAATTTTAAGTTTCAGATTCCGAAGGTTTATTGGAGTATGAAGTTAGCGTTTATGTCACAACTTTGCAAAAATGAAGACTTCGAGAAAATTTCCTAAAAAAAGTACTTGCAAGCAGTCGAAGAAACCCAATGAGTTCATTGCTTTGCATTTTGTCCACTCTATCCAAGAAGAACAAAGCTTTTTTAGAAATGAAAAGTTTTCAAAGTGACTGAAATATAGGTGAAAATCATAGGTTGGAGATTTTGACTATTATTCGAACTATTATCAAGGATCTCGGAACAGAAATTCCCTGCTAGAGGAAGAAATTCCGCATAAGGCACAATCCTGAGCATCTGCCTAATATTACTCCGAACGATTCGAGAATAGGTCTAAAACATACAAGAACTTTCGAGACCATTACTAGAATAAGTCTCACATGGTTCACACTCTTCCTCGCTTCCATTTACAGAACGAGACGACGAAGAGGTTATCATGCGCAGCAAATGTGCAAAGTTTTTGCCAAAACCTTTCATCCGTTATTACGTCAGTTCAAATCAAGCAGTAAGTAGCGCATAACTTCTTTACGAATTTACTTATCGTAGGTCAGATCATTGAAGTTCAGAAAATGCTTCAAACCATAAAATTACCCATAAAAGAGTAATCTTGTCTCTTCTTGCTTTACTAAGTCCAAACTTTGCTGAGAATTTGAAATGAAGATGGATGTGACCAAAACAAGAGATCAAGGATTTGGCTTTCACTTTTGAGCAAATCTTAAAAACATTTTGTACCGCTAAGTTCTCACAGGCACACAATTTTCTCCATCCTTACTGAGAACAAAACATTTTCGTAGACTTCGTGACTACCAATGCGATTTACAAACCCTTGCAGATTACGCTATAAGGGCGTGAAATTGCAGTTTTTGAGGACCAGTTTGAAAATGCTGGAAATTATCTTACAAGGCAAGGATACTAACTTAGAATCGCCTTTTAAGATAAGACACATATATTTGGAATTAGCTTTGAACGCTGATTCCAAATATGCTGTGCCCAGCTGTTTAGCGCTATTCCGAAGCGAGTTATGGGCTTGCTATTGTGAGTAATCAACAAATTTCTGAGTATCATAAGACGGCGTGTAGGTTAGAATCTGCTCGAAAAAAGTGCTAGGATGTTAAACTAGCAACAGATTAATTCTTTCGATCTTGAAAGGGAGCATTATACAAGCAAAACCACCTAGACGTTGACACCGTAGCATCAGTAGTCGAGGAGCACGCAAATTTTGCATAGAAAAGAGACCATAACTCGTTTCAGAATAAGGCTAAGCAGCTAGTAATGGCATATTTGGAATCAGCGTTTCAAGCTGATACCAAACACATGTGTATAATCTCAAAAGGCAAATCTAAGTAAGTATCCTTCCCTTGTTAGTACTTCCGTAGATTCACACAAAAATCTTAGAATTCAAACTCTAAACTCATTTTGAGAAAGAATGCTTTTTTGCTTCCTATGTTACAATCTACGTTTGAAAAATGATGCACTTCTGAACCGCATGTGTATAGCAGTGCAAGTTCAATCAAAAGACGAATAACACACTTGAAATGACAATTAATGCAACTGCAAAGGTAATGAGAAGCTCGAAAACGAGAAAAGAGAATCTACTGGTTTTAGAGCCATAGCTAGTGGAGCAAGACGTTCTTTTCGAAATGAATACAACGACTTCGATTCATAGAGCAACATTATACCTATTTCCAGCGATAATGGAAATTGAAGAAGAATCATAGTAGATATATCACGAGAATCAAGAAACTTCGGAATGTTCTTTTATATGTTTTATTCAGATTCGTCAGACTGTTTTCAGTTAATGTTCTTCCTGGTTCCGCTTACGTCTTCCTTTGTGCTTTGTTCCACAGCCTGCTTGGGTTTTTTCGGCATCAGATTTGCCGTCAGCATCTTTTCTAATTTTATGATAGGTACTTCGAAGAGGCAGCTCCAAAAGAAAGCGAACACATATGATACAACAACTGTTGGTATACCCCAATGCACATACTGAAAGTAACGAATTAAAAGAGCCGTGTTGTCTTTAGATCCTACCGTGCGCCATATTGAAACAAAATGTGATGGTCGATTATCTAAGTTGAAGATATACGAGATTAAGAAAAAGTGTGCAATATAACCGCAGTAAGAGAGCCTGCCCAATGGTTGCCACAACGGATGATCCATGAAGTCGGCAATAATTCCTACAATATCAATTATAAAACATTGCAAAACAGTTCTTTTATATCCAAACCTCCCCATCCCAGATGATTTGCGATAACGACCCAAGCTACTGCTAATGACCAACCGAATCTCGAAAAATTGTTATAAGTTCCACTTACTGCATTGCTGAAATGAAGTCAAAAATTGAACGTTGAACGGCGGAGTTCGATTGTGATCACCAACAGAGAGGTGTGCGCCGAGAGCGAAAACATGGATAAATGAGGCAACCTTCACAAATTGTAACTCTATCCATTCACATGGGCAGCGACTATCTAGGAATAACTAACCTAATTTCACGCGTACAAGGCGCACCTTTTTCGATCTTTCAAACGTGCCGCTCAGCCGCCTTGTTGTGCTTCGGAAAACGAAACTTATGCCGCACGATACTCTCAGGCGATATACAGCGCCGTCTATAGTTTTTTATTCGCGAAGTTTTTGGGTTTGGGCTGGTCGATTTGCGAAAAAAATCTCCCACGCCTTGTACGCGTGAAATTAGGGTACAATTTTGAAGTCGGTGGGCGCTTGCAATTATGCACCTCCAATAATCCGCTCCTTTTATATATTGGTGTGGGCCGTACAGCGATGCCAATGCAATTGCTGCAGCTAATACCCAGAGAGACACAATCAGTATCTGCAATATGCGTCTCAAAATTTTTTTTCTTATCCACTGACTTTACCTTGTTTAGTTTCGGTTTCTTCCCCGAAGCGAGGAAGTATCCCACTGCAATTCCAATTAGGTACGGCGTACAGCGACTCCAAGGCTTTTGATAGTATAGATTAAAAAAGTCCATCATCTTTCTAAAAGCTGGGCAATGTCTCTCACGATGTAATGGTAATAATTACCACTCACAAACCAAAAGTGGTCATATCATTCATTGCAAAAGCTCCCATCATAATTGCAGGAAAATCATAATGGATAGTGAGGTAGTAGACATATGCTATGCTAGCAGCAATACATAAGCAAATAAATGCATATCCTGAAACATACCTTATTTTGAGTTTTGCTTGTAAATCATACCTGCAATCCACGAGAAGTAAAATATGATGAGAAAGATTGGTCCAACAAAATAAAGTTGGGTGTCAACCGCCAGATACCAAGTTATGCCGTAACAATTCTGGAGAAAAAAGAGTGCAAAAACATAGTAGCAGCGTGAAAACATACTTGAGTCATGTCAAAAAAGTTGTTGATATAGAAGAGATTATGCCACCAGTACTTTTCACATGGTTGGTACATTGAGGTTTGCATGCCCACTGCTGACTGAGCCCAAGGCCCGTTGATGAGTGGGCTCAGAGTTACAAAAAGCCATATAAACATCATTATAGGTGGTGTTAATCTGAAAAATAAGATGACGCCCAATATAACTGAAAATTTTTTGTCTTCATTTTTGGACCGCCAGAGCCTGGCATGAGGTTGACAACATTTGCCTCAGACAAATAATCCATGAGTGCAGGGTCCCGCAACGACTCTGCTTCTCTATCTTGCACTCGTACTCGCCCAAGCCTACCGTAAGATTCGGGCCACTTGAGGGCGATTTGTAGACTTTGTAGACCCCCTTTACACGCTGCACATTTCTGCCTCGCTTAGTTAGGGGGTCTACTATTAAATTACTACCAGAGCCAGGTAACCCCGTCTGGTGGGACGCTGCCTTCAATATGAGATAATTGCAATTGACTAGAATGGAAGATGTTTTCGAAGAAGAATACTGAGCGAATAAAGCTTTCAAAGTCATGAGAACGACTGAGTTATACTCGTTAAGACAACTACAGCGTGTCCGTAAAGTATGTATACACTGTTTGATCGTTAATATCTCTTTTCCCAAGAAGTCTTACGCGTTGCTTCAGGCACCATTTTGTAGAGCTTGCTTCAACTTAGATTTACAGTATAAAGCGAATCACCGATCTCTATTCATCACTGTAGGATTACGGTGGTAACCTCAAAGAGGGTTTTGAGCCATGAAAGGCCATATTTTGCTTCAGAAAGGAAACAAGACAGACTGAAAACTTTTATACTAGGCTAATCAGAGTTGCTGATTCTAACTGTAAAGTTCCCAACTCATTATGATGCTTCATTGAAGAGTTATGCCAGATAAGAGGTAGCGGCCTTTTTTTCAATGTTCCTAAAAAGTGCGGTTACACCGTTTAGAAAGCCTCGCAATCTTGTGAATAATTGAGTGTTGAACTCAGCGTCCATAAAAACCCTATTGCACAAGTTTTCACATTTTTTTTGAAAAATTTTGAAACGGCAGCTCTTTCCACATTGACACCATATGTTTCAAGTTTCTACCGTAATCCTACAGTAATGAAGAGGGAGGGTGATTCGTTCTATACTGCAAATCTAAACTGAAGCCAGCTCTACAAAATGGTGCCTGAAGCAAGGCGTAAGACTTCTTGGGAAAAGAGATATTAACGATCAAACAGTGTATACATACTTTACGGAACCCTGTATATGCATTCACAACAAAATATAAACCATTTTAAGCTTTTCTCGTTCCAGCGTGCGGTATGGGAAAGTCATCACAAATATTTAGCTTGGCACATAGATAAAAAAGGAAGATAGCAAGCAAGAGACGGCAAATGAATCCCGGAACTAAATTTATTGCAAATGGTGTTTACAGTAATCTACCATGAATTAGACAGCTAACTTACAGTCGTTAGCTGTTGTTGTTGTTTTGGGTTCCACTGGGAGAGAGGAGGTTTTGATACTCACGCTGGCATCATTAGAGTGCAAGTGCCAGGGTTGGGGAAAAAGCTAACAATAAGTATACACTCTTCACATGAGCCTTCCCATACATCACACATCGTTTTACCAATCACTAGCTTGCTTACCCGGCTCCGCTCGGGCCTGTCAAAACACTGTAATAAAGGTCCCATCCCTACCCCTGCACAGCCTTTCCCTGTGCCTACTTCTAACTTCATTTCCCGTTCCCTGTGTTGTTTTCGAAATCAGCATGCCCACTTACCCCCTGTGCCCCCAGCCCTGTAGCTCAAACTTTGCAAAAAATCGATAAAATCGATAAAAGTAATGGACGATTTTGAAAACTAATGTTGTATTCGTAATCAGCATGCTCGATTATCCCCCTGTGCCAACTCCCAGCCCCGTAGCTCAAACTTTGTAAAAAACCGATAAAAACCGATAAAATCGATATCGATCGATAACGAAAAGTAGCCTATGACACGCTCTCTGTCCCGAAGTGTATGTGTGCCAAGTTTGGTTCGTATCGATTCAGAAATAAAAATTTCTTTTCCGCACATACGTACAGACATACATACATACATACATACAAACACACATTCAGCTTTATATATAAGATTGTGCATATACCATAGCAAAGTCGTTGCTTGAAAGCCAAAATAAGTCCTTTTCAGTTTTTAAAAGTAAGTTTTGAGAAGAAAATCTGTCACACCCTCCAGCACATAATTTTTCACAACTTGTTGCACTAAAGTGCGGTTCATAATTATACGAACACCTTGAATTTTGAAAGTTTTTGGACTTTTTGGAAGAAACTCAAAAAGCCGTTGGTACCACGCGATAGAGCACAGCCGAAAACGGTATATGATCCATAAGAATGAAAATCGATGTCAATCTTAGGAGTGTTTTTGCGCCTAATGCGAATTTTGAGCGGTTCATAATTATACGAACACCTCAAACAAAGGTCCATTTTTCATTCAAGATTGCAATCTTTCGAGTCCAAATTTTTTGTAGAGTTACAGTAACAAAGTCTGACATATCTGCTACACACTAAACCCAGTGCAGTTCAAAAAGAGGATCTTTACTTTCTTTTAATTGCTCTAAATGCTTTTGGAGTGATTGCGCTCCAAAAACATCCGTTCTTCTGTAGTTCACGCACTCTAATTAGCTTCCACCAAGGCTATGAGATAAAATAAGCTACTTCGATAGGTATTTTGTTTGACGCTTGGGAAATCTATGCGTTTTTCGTGCCGCTTTTCAACCAAGTTCCAACCTCACCCTAAAGTTGGCACGATTTCGAGCCTCAAAACTCAGCTTTTCTCCGGCGCAAACACTTGATATGAAGCAGCTGCATTGTTTGCATGTTGATGTATCCATGTCAAAGTTTTTGGGTTTTTTGTAGAACTGATCTTGAGGCTGTGGAGCTAGCTATAAAGACGTAACTGCAATAGTAAAAACAGTGGTTTTAGTGAAATGATGTCTGCGTGGCCGAAACAAACGCTCAACGCTGCTGATTTTTTCTAGCCAAATACATTGTCTTGTGAGCTTCTACATACTATAAGCTTACTTCATTGTAGGGCTTCAGAAACTGAGTTTAGAGGTTTGAAATCGTGCTAACTCTAGGGTAAGTTTGAAACTTGGTTGCAAAACTGCACGGAAACGCAAAGATTCTCCAAGCGAAAAACAAAGTACCTATCGAAGGAGCTTATTTTATCTCATAACCTTGGCAGAAGCTAATTAGAGTGCGTGAACTACAGAAGAATGGATGTTTTTGGAGCGCAATCACTCCGAAAGCGTTTAGAGCCATCTGGAAAAAAGTAAGGATCCTCTTTTTACACTGCACTGGGTTCAATGTGTCGCGGATGTTTCAGACCTTGTTACTGTAACTCTACAAAAAATTTGGACTCGAAAGATTGCAATCTTGAATGAAAAATGGACCTTTGTTTGAGGTGTTCGTATAATTATGAACCGCTCAAAATTCTTGTTAGGCGCAAAAACACTCCTAGAATTGACATCGATTTCCATTCTTATGGATCATATACCGTTTTCGGCTGTGCTCTATCGCGTGGTACCAACGGCTTCTTGAGTTTCTTCCAGAAAGTTCGAGAACCTTCAAAATCTGGAGTGTTCGTATAATTATGAACCGCACTTTAGTTTTGTCCCCGCCATCGAGGTTTTTTACAATAAAATGCAGAAAAATGACTTCAGTGTAGCCTTGAGCAAAATTGTGCTCGAGCACTCAAGCGCGTTTGCCACGAAAGTGCACACATTCGAAAATATTAGTGCATATGAGCGTTCAAAACGTTGAGCTAGTAATTGTTTTACGGGAAAATGCAAAATGCAGACCCCATCTAGAATACCCATAAGACGATTTTCAACATTTACTACCGTCTTGCCAGCCCCTCTTCTTGCTATTACCTTGTGTGCTTTCTTTCTATGCTATTAGAGAGAGCGCGATCCTTAGCGGTTTTCTCTCCATAAAAGTCTCAGAAGCATTCAACTGCGTATTCATTTGCGTTTTAGATAACTTTAAAAGAACATTCAGACTCTGCGCCAAAAAAGCTGTCCTTTCCCAGCTTGAGAGCAAGAAGTCTAGCAAAAAAAAATAGATTGAGCTTGCAACTGAGCATGGACTACACTACGATTGAATTTGCGTTGCCTAAAACTTTTTGAAGCAAACCATGTATACTTGTTAAAAGTGCTCAAAAAAAGTTTGTCAATGTTTGTGCTTTTTTTCTCGTTGTTGTTTCTAGAGCTAAAGCATTTAGAGTGACTGAGTATGGAAAATTTACCTGCAAACCAAATGACGATTACTAGTAATAAAAACAATTGAAACAATCAAACTTTTTTCTTTACGATTGTTCAGCGCATTATAGTGCCAAAAATCAGTGGTAATGATTTTTACAATGAGCTGATTCAGGCCTTCAACTGCACCTTTCACAGCTGCTAAATTCTAGACAAGATTATATGAGATTATTAGCATGAATGACCTGTGAAAACGCGGCTTCCAAATGAATGAGGTATGCTTCAGACCAAATCACTGCTACAAAGTAAACTTGCTTTGAAAATATATGTGAGGTAGAAAGGAATTTTCTCTAAAAGAATATATATAGCTATAATGGAAGACATAAGCAACACCAGATGTAAGTAATTACTTATATGCCAATATTTTGCACTTACTATAGACAGGAAAAGCCATTCGTACCTGACATAGCGATGTACGTAGTACATAATCCACACCATAGGATTTTTGACATATGCAGCAGTAGGCTTGGATTTGAAAAACAGGTAGGATACCAATATGCCGGAGAGCACAAAAAACGTGTCTACGGAAAAGAACGCATTTACGATTGTAGTTGATAGAAAAGGATTGAATACTTCCAGTACAGGTCCATATGTATCTGAATTGCAGCGGTCAAAACTTTTCTGTCTACAATTCGCAAAAAAAAGACGCACCGCTGATCATGACATCCATGAGCACATGTCCTGCCACGACCCATGTCATTGAGACAAATCGGATTGAGGCTAACGACTTTATAGTTCCCTTTTTATAAGGGCTTACGTTCATCAACTCCGCCCCATTAGTATATATTGAGTAGGCAAGAAACACTCGAGTGCCTCAAATCATCTGCACATTTGATACAAGCCTAGCTAGTTTGTTAGGCACTGTCGATACAGGGTGCGGCAAAAGTCTGGGAGCCTAGTACTTTCTCGTACAAAACGAGAAGGGAAGTACCTAGAAACGAAAAAATTGGCGCACACATAATTCGAACCATTGCAGATACAGCCCAGTTCTTGAATTGCAAAACTGCCTCTTTTGGCTTCCACGCAGCCCTACAAAATATTGGCTGGTCCACCTGTCATGGCACGCAGGTAGTCGTAATGGAATTCGCCCCACGCCTTCGCAATAACTGCTTCTTTTACCTTGGCAAATGTGCAGCACGATAGAGCAAACTTGGGTGCAGGTGAGGTCATGTGCAAGCACTGCCAAGGGCCATTTTCAGCCAAAAAACTCATCAGCACACGTCCGATGCATAGAGGATGGCAAAAAGCATTTATTTTATCCAGACGGCTTTGTTGGGATGTTTTGAACAGGTTTCCGTGTGAAGACATTTGGCTTGATAAAGGAAATTAGAAGTTGTTTTTTAAAAAAGTAAAATAAAACTCAAGCTTGCGTTTTTTGGGGAAGCGACCATAACTAGTGTGTAGCTCTTGACGAGCTCTGTATAGTAGTAAGTTTACCCGTCTGGATAGCTTGTGTTTCCGCTTTAAAATAGGACTCAAAAGAAAATTTTTGCGTTCGTAGAATTCTTGTCCGCTACATTGTGACGCGGCCATTTTCGGACTTTTTTTTAGAAAAAGATTCTTAAAATTTTTGGTGCACATGTTTCTCAAAAAAAAACTCAAAGTGTAGATTGTAGATCTTGAAGAGCTCTATCACCTAATGCAATTATTACATTTTTTCATCCTTGTTTTCCCTCTGGAAAAGAGCGATGAAAAAGGGAGGGAGGCTTGTCCGCAACTTTTTGGCGGTCACTGTATGTGCAGTTGCTGTGTCTTCTCCTTGAAAACAGAGGAGACGAAAACTTTCATGATTTTCTCAAAGCAATGCTGAGCCCTTCTTGCATATGTAGTTCTATACTACAAGCCTAGGTAAGTATAACTGTAGAATTTTTAGCCCATTCCGAGCGCTAGTTTTTGAGAAATATTGAATTCCGCTTTCTTCTTTTCAGTTTCAGTGCTGAATTCAATATTTCTCAAAAACTAGCGCTCGGAATGGGCTGAAAATCTACAGTTATACTCAATTAGGCTTGTGGTATAGAACTACATGTGCAAGAAGGGCTCAGCATTGCTTCAGTAATAAGAAGTAAAGTTTTTTATGTAATGTATAAAGAACCAATAAACTCCGTTTCGTTCCTGCCCTTGGAGTAAAAGTATTTACAGACCTTCCCCGGAACTCCTCATTAGAAAATCATGAAGATTTTCGTTTTCTTTGTTTCTAGTCAAGGAGAAGACACAGCAACTGCACATATGAGTGGCTGATATGGAATGCATTGATGGGTGTGACTGGGAGGTCCGTATAAATTATTTGGATAAAAATCTGAATTTTTTCGATTTCTTGAGCATTTGGAAGTCTTTAAATTTTGAGTTCAAACTTTTCGTGGATCGAGCTTATCGCAAAATCGTTTTTACTTTGCTTGCTTTAACAAAGCAACCAAAGTCAACCCTACAAGAGATAAGGGGTATTTCGATAGAGCTAGCTTTGCTCTATCGAACAATATCCCTTATCTCTTGTAGGGTTGACTCTGGTTGCTTTGTTAGAGCATGCAAAGTAAAAACGACATTATTTTCTTGACAACCTAATACAACATGCTTCCAAAAGAATTTTTTGTATTGCTTAGGAATGAAAATATTGGATTTTAAATTAGAAGCATGTGTACGTCGCATACCGGAATTTTGTCTACAACTGCACAAATAAAAACTCAGAATTATCTTTTAAAAAGAATAAAAGTGTTCCCATGGCCGAATATCAACAGATTCTAATTTAGAAGAGGTATGCAAAATTACAGCCTTGGTCCCAGTGCCTGTTGAGCATTCTATAGCTTTTAAATTTGTTCTGAAGACGGATTTCCACTGGCACGTAACATTCGCAAACTTTTATTTCCCGTTTATGCAAGAACAGCTCCTGGCAAAATCAAAACTAGGATACAATAGCGCAGAGCCTATTCTATGTTGTGAAGTTCTGTAAAAAATTAACAGCATCTCTAGCGACAGCAAAAATTATAAATATTAAAAAAATCTGGTTTTTTCGCTTTGCAAAAGTACTACCCTATTTTCAGGTGTATAAGCCGCACCCTTTTCGCTCCAAAGCGAACACGCCAAAAGACTGACTGTCATCATGGAGCGCGTTAAGTGAGAGCAGCATGCGATAAGGCGACCGCTTCGCGGCACATATGCGCTGCGGCACGCCTAGGTTTGCTCGCGTTCAAAGCAAAAAGGGTGCGGCTTATACACCTGAAAATAGGGTAATTTGGTAATTTCCATTCTTACAAAAACATTTGGCAGCCATTTCCAGCCAAATAAATTGTATTCTGTAGAGGATGACCGCAGCATCATGTGGCATAAAACTGAAATCAAAAATACCAGTACCTTTGTAATTGCAATACTGCAAAGTTAGGCTCTCAGACTTTTGCCGCACCCTGTATAACTGTCCTCCCCATTGTGTCTTTTTCTGCCATTTAAGTACCGTTCTGCAGATGAGGCTTCAGCTTAGATTTTCAGTCTTCTTGAGCGAATCACAGATCCTTTTCATTACTGTAGGATTAGTGTTGGAATCGACAAGGATTTCAGGCCATTGGAAGCCGTATTCTGCCTCAGAACAAAACCAAACAAGCCAAAAACTCTTATCCTATGATTATGGAAGCAGCTGATTTCGAATATGAAATTTCCACTTTACTATGATGCTTCTTTTTGAAGTTATCCTAGGTAAGCCGTAATGACCGAATTCCCGGTACTTGTCAGAAATGTGATTACATCATCAAAAGACTGAAAACACTCGTAAAAAGTTGTGTAGTAGAATCAGCGTGCGCGAAAACCCTAGTACACGATTTTCAAATTTTATTGAAAAAATTGTTAGATGGCATATTTCACAATGGTTCCACATGCTGGAAGTTCTTACCGTAATCCTACACTAACAAAGAATGATCGGTGATTCCTTCTACACTGCAAATAGTTGAAGCCTCCTCTACCGAATATTACTTGGCTCACGAAAAAGACCCATTGGGAAGAGAGATATTGACGATTAGAATGTGTACTTACTTTTGGGGCACCCCTGTATAAATCACTAATTCACCTCTGCTTCGCAGAGGCTCGCACGTTCTACTATCTGTACGCCTTACTCATTCTTTCGCTATAATGACACTGAATTTCACCGCGCAGTGCTGACTATTACGAATAAGTCGTAAACATCATCTACTCATTTGAGAAGAGAGCTTTTTCATGTGAGATTGGCAACTGGGATGAAACTTCTTGCAGAAAATCAAACGCAAACTTGAATCGGTTTTGGAACTTTTTATGGCATGTAGTCGTTATAATAACAGCCACCATGAACTATGTCTCTGTGCGAAAATCTTCCCAAATGCTAAGCTAAAACCTTGACGAATTGACCACCTACGCAACCAATCCTTTTTTGCCATTTTCATAAAGCAGTAGACTTTCGACCATTTTTTGGGCGTAGCTTGCACATTCACTTGACAAACGTATTGATGTCTTTGCAAAAAGTAATACTACGGACCTATTTTTGCTAACCAGAAGTCGAGTAAATCCGTTTGACGCACAATTTCTGAGTGATCCATTCATCGGATTCGCTCGTGCTTTATCATGGAGGACTTTCACGCCGATAGCATGCGCTATGCAAAAATTGGGTCAGAACTTTTGAAACATGCTCTCCGTATTTTGTAACAGACGGACACGCAAACACAAAAGCAGGCAAAAAATTCTTAGCGGGTTATTGTAAGGTCATGATTGTAATTATTGTTTTTTTAGACAAAATTCATCGTGAAGCTAGGAATATTTCGTCTTTGTTTGAAATTACCATCTACTCAGCGATCTCGCACGCAAAAAGAAAAGAAATATACACAACCTGATTCTGCTGCGGCATAGATGACTTGAAGTACACAGCTGCCAGATGTCCTTCTCACATTCCATGAGTTGCGTCCCAGTACCGCCTACCATACTTACCTTACCATTATACAGGAGTTGTAAGCGCAAGAGCTTTCACGCAACATGAGGGTCACCCTCAAGGATTCACACAGCGCACGACAGCAGGTTAGTCGCGCTCGAATTCTATGCCCCACAAAAACCCCTGTGCTAAAGATGCACGGCGGCAGACTAAGGGGGGGGGGTGGGGGGTGGGGGAGGGAGGGAGGGAGGGATGTGTAACCCAATGTCATGAGTGAGACTGCAACAAAAGTGGGATGCAAGCTGGCTTCTGAGATGGTGAAAGTTGTGTATGTGAGTCGTGACTCGTTTCTTAGCAGGTCTCCAAATAATGAGCCTTGAGGCAGGATTTTCAGGAAGAGCCAAATGTTTCACGTCTGTCCCTATGAACGAGATTTTTTGTGCACTTTTTCTCGCCTACATGTGTTGTCTGGGTCCCAGAGAGGTTCCCTTAGCTACTCTTGATTGCACAACAATTTGCCGCCTTTTTCAGCTAACTTCAAGTTAGCGCCGAGGTGCCCTATATGAACTTTTTGAACCTTTACTGAACATTGCCTTCAAACACTCACAGCGTCAAGCGATAAAGCTGCCATGTCTCAACCCTCGCGAAAGGGGTCGATACACATCATGGATTGTTTGACTGGCGTACAGACTTACATTCTTGGGAGTGTAAACGGGAGGATACGCCGAAGTGGAAGAGAATGGTGAGTCAAATTATGCTATTTTGAAAATGATCAAAGAAGAGTATACTAGCTAGTGTGATATCTCTATCGGTTTGATTTGGTAGCACAATGTTATGTCGTCTGTAAGTAAAAGACTATTTTATTTGTCTTACCTGTGCCATGCACCCTGTCTTTGTAGTAGGTATCCAGAATATAGTCGGTAACACTAGCAAGGACTGCCCAGATCGCAAAAAAGGCTATAACGCAGCTGAAAGCATTCATTTCAAATAAATCGACTGTGAAGGTAGATTTACTTTCAAATCCTTCAGTCAGTGATTTGGTGTAAGCTATAACCATTTCCACTGCGAACATTACAAATGTTTCAAAAAATAAAAATGTTAGTTCCGCGGTCTGAACGTACATTGAAGCGAAAATGGAGCAATGATCAAGCTAGAAACGCACTACAGGCGTCTAATCCGTCAGGAGGTACACATTTATGTACTTATCGCAAGATCCATGTAGTAGGACACCGGCGCGGAAATCTTAGAGGCAGGATTTCAAGAAAAAAAGCAAAGAAGGGCAGATATGCTATGCAGCATATGAGTGACCATTCAGACAAAAGCATTCTTCAAAAACATGCTGATATGCAGTTGACATTCTACTGCGTTCTTTCACAAAGCGCGCGCAAACTGAGTGCAAGGCTAAACTAAACAAATGGCTTGTTTAAAGCGGACAGAAAAGCACGTGACGATTGGAACAGTAACAGGATTGTGTTGATTCAATTGTTGAGCCAGTCCGAGATTGGTATATATATTTATTAGGCTGACGTTTCGGCTATGTCGCCTTCTTCAGAGCCTGAAATGGGCGACAACAATCTATAAACTATCCGACCAAGTATCTCCTCAGCCTCACAAACAAAATTCTAAGCTTTCTTTCGAATCACAGGCAAGCTGCCACACGCAATACTCACCTTTTCGATCGCCGGTAAAATTCTCTAGTATAAAAGAGCGCTCACTGATAACGTAAGTGAATGATTGAACATGTCCTCCTGATTTAGATATGGTGCGAGCTCGCGTGTGATAGAGATGCATTCATTTTTGCGATTCATTTTGGGTTGTTTGAAATGAATCCAAAACGCTTTTAAAGTCTTGCGGGTAGATGTTTGAGGTTCACGCGCTAAGTTCTCTACATTCACTTCAAAATTCACTCCTTCATGCTCTTGCACTCTATGGGCGCCCAATGGCGTGTATAAGCGTGATTTTTCCTTGCCATTGAGATGTTCCTTGATGCGTACGCATAAGGGACGTGCTGTTTCACCGATATACTCGGCTCCGCAGTCCTTGCATGAGATGAGGTAGACAGCTCCCGCACTCATGCAGTCGCCATCCTTTGCTGTGGGACATACTAGACAGTTTGACGTAGTGCAATTACGGTCGTACATGCGATTCCGAACAAGAATGTTGTTTGTGGAGGCATGTTGTTGTTGTTGTTCGGAGGCATGTCCACTACCAAAACTGAGTTGTTCAACCCTGCTCTCCTCAGAAATCGCCGAATGGCATTTCATCGGCGATGAAGGATACAGAAAGGTATCTTCTCTGCTGCGGGTGACGCTCTCCTTTCTACAGAGCTGCTTTGTTGGGCCCTACAATGCGTCATCCTGTTTTCATAACCGTTAGATATACCTATCTTACGTGCACGGCCAACGACTCCATCTTTAAATCTTTAATTCATCGACTCTGTAAGTACTGGGCAGGTTGGCAGATCAATTCTAAGACGGGTGGCTTTATGGCTAAAACTGAAAGACAAGTGCTGCAGTTGCGTCCCCTGCTTTACTGCAGATACATCGATGACTGTTTCATCATATGTGCCAAAGCGGAGGTTGATGAATGCTTTAAGTTGATGAACAGGCAATCGGAACATATATGACTTACTCGGGAAAAGCCTACTAACGGATGGTTGCCTTTCTTAAACGTACAAGTCAATATCAATGATGGTAATCAGAAGGAAAACGAAGTGGTATCGAAAGTCCAGTAACAAGAACATCCCCATCCACTCCCGCTCAGCGCATCCTCTACAGACTAAAAAAGCAGTGATCAAAAACATGTTTCGTACAGCTGCAAATTTGCGTAGTGGACGAGAGGAGAAGATGGAATCGTTGGCCATTGCGCGTAAGATAGCTTTATTCAACGGTTATAAAAACAGGATGACGCATTGTAGAGCCCAACAAAGCAGCTTTGTAGAAAGGAGAGTCACCCGCAGCAGAGAAGATACCTTTCTGTATCCTCCACCTCCGATGAAGTGAGCACCGCCATTCGGCGATGTCTGAGGAGAGCAGGGTTGAACAACTCAGTTTTGGTAGTGGACATGCCTCCGAACAATTTGAAACGCATTCTTGTTTGGAATCGCATGTACGACCGTAATTACACTACCTCAAACTGTCTAGTATGTCCCATAGCAAAGGACGGCGACTGCATGAGCGCGGGAGTTGTCTACCTCATCTCATGCAAGGACTGCGGAGCCGAGTATATCGGTGAAACAGCACGTCCCTTATGCGTACGCATCAAGGAACATCTCAATGGCAAGGAAAAATCACGCTTATCCACTCTACTGGGCGCCCATAGAGTGCAAGAGCATGAAGGAGTGAATTTGAAGTAAATGTAGAGATCGCGCGTGGACCTCAAACATCCACCCGAAAAACTTTAGAAGGGTTTTGGATTCATTTCAAACAACCCAAAATGAATCGAAAAGATGAATGCCTCTCTATCACACGCGAGCTCGCACCATATCTAGATCAGATTTTCTGATCCGGTGAATACATGTTCAATCATTCACTTACGTTATCAGTGAGCGCTCGTTCATGCTCGAGAATTTTACCGACAACCGAAAAGGTGAGTATTGCGTGTGGCAGCTTGCCCATGATTCGAAAGAAAGCTTAGGATTTTGTTTGTGAGGCTGAGGAGATACTTGGTCGGATAGTTTATAGATTGTTGTCGCCCATTTCAGGCTCTGAAGAAGGCGACATAGCCGAAACGTCAGCCTAATAAATATATTTACCGATCTCGGACTGGCTCAACAATTAGATCAACACAATATTCATCATGCCGAGATTTTTGTTTGAACATAAACAACCGTCTCGGCAGTTCCAGCCTGGAAAGATTTCTGGAGCAGTCGTTTGTAACTTCTTCGGTGTTTAAGAGTACAGATTGTCTGCAACATCGTGTATCAAAACATTCAAACTGCTGAACGTAGAAGTTCTAAAAACCCTGCAAATCTAAATTTTTATGGAAAAGGGGGCGTCAACAGTTTTGATTACGCGAACACCATTGGGAAAAAATTTTGAACATTTTTGTAGAATCGTTTGTGTCAAGGTGCTTTGTGGCTCCACGATGTGGATGTTCCCTTGCACACCCATACCCAATCAAAGTTATTTCTGTCAAGAAAAGAGCTTTGAAAAAACTTTGCTGTGCTGATTTTGTGATAGAGCGTCAGGACCTGCCTATTTTGATGGTTTATCTCTCCAGCGTAATCGTTAATTCTCAGAGTAAAATTTTGCGAGTTATCTGCGTTAGGATCAACAAGAGATATGACGGATATTTTCAGAAATAAGGGAAATTTTAAGGCACGATTACTGGTGAAGCAAGGCAAAGTCTCTACGAACGCACTAACAACCGATCAAAGGTGTTTGCATGTCACTCTGTGTGTGCCCGTCTGTTACGAATTTCGTAAGGCAAGTTCCAGCCAAGATCTTGATAGAATTTGGTTACAGCACTCCAAGCACAAAAGATCCAATATGCGGAATTTTCGAAAACTCTGCAACGAATGAAACCATGCGGCTTTTAGCCTACAGAAAGTGGGTCTATATCTAGATTTTTTGAAAAGATGACTTGCCTAGCATATGCGTCTTCAGTTCATTGACTTTCCTTATAAATTAACCAAAAACCATAGTTTTTTTTTTGCAAAAAACGGAGGTAATAAAGTATGGTTGCGTAAACTGCGGATCTCTAAAGATTTTACTTAATGAAAAGATTTCTGCTTATAGATGCATCAATGTCGTAATTATCATCACGGCAACTATCCAGCCGTGATAAATCAGACATCCAAAGCAACCTCCTCGTAAAATTACCCACTGTACAAGGAAAAGACTTTGTGATGGGTAGTTATTTGCATTTTTTGATGGCAAGCATTGCGCGGTGTTTTAAGGCTGTCACTATGTGAAAACGAGGAAGACACGCCCATACAAGGCCCGGCACGAGTCCATTTCTCGGCTTTTTGAAAACTAAGTCACGAAGTCCCCTTTGAACCTTGTTCTACCTTCCCCTCCACACTCCATTGTTGGTGGATCCCCGCATACCCACTTAGGGCCGCATGCACTAACCTCCCCGCTGGGGAGGGAATCGCAGCTTAAAAAGAAAGCATTTCGAAACTCCAGATACCTGGATTTCACGTTGTGTACCTATCCGTAAGTATTCCTACTACCCTTCGCTATGAACATGTTGAAGAGGAGCGAGAAGCTGTACGAACCGCATTTTCCAGCTTATGATCCCTGATGATCCCCGGCGCTTTTCTTTAAAGTCATTTTTCTTTCTCCAAACTCAAAGAAAACCTTCCAAGGTTGTACCGAACATCTAACACAACAGTGCTAAGCATGTTGCTGATGAGAACGAATGAGTTTTTGAAAAGTCGAATTATTCGGTAAACCTCAAATTTCGACTTGCGGATCATCGAAAATTTCATGGCTTCAAAACATCATTTGTTCTCACCAGCAACATGCTTAGCACTATTGTGCTAGATGTTCAGTACAACTTTGGAAGGTTTTCATTAACTTCGGAAAAAGAAAAATGACTTTGAAGAAAAGCGCCGGGGATCATCAGGGATCATACGAAAGCTGGAAAATGCGGTTCGTACAGCTTCTCGCTCCTCTTCAACATGTTCATAGTGAAGGGTAATAGGAATACTTACGGATAGGTACACTACGTGAAATCCAGGTATTTGGAGTTTTAAAATATAAAGCTTTATTTTAAGCTGCGATCCCCTCCCCGCGGAGATGTTAGTGCATGCGCCCGTGGGGAGGGGATCGCAGCTTAAAAAGAAAGCATTTCGGAACTCCAGATATCTGGATTTCACGTCGTGTACGTAACCGTAAGTATTCCTACTATTTTTCACTATGAACACATTGAGCAGCAGCGAGAAGCTGTACAAGCCGCAGTTAGCATTTGTATGATCCCTGATAATCCCTGGCGCTTTTCTTTGAAGTCATTTTCCCCCAAAGATAACGAAAAGCTTCCAAAGCTGTGCAGATTATCTAACCAACACTGCTTATCATGTTGCTGATAAGAACAAGTGATGTATCGGAGTCATGAAATTTACGATGAACCACAAGTTGAAAGTTGTGGTTTACCGAAAAATTCGATTTTTTAAAAACTCATTTGTTCTCATCAATAACATGCTTACAAGGAAGGTGTTTTTGACCAAAGTGACCTTTTCAAATGAAATTGATACGACTATAAAGAGCATCAAACGCTGATTCCAAATCTGTCTTCGTTATCTGCCGAGCGCCTTTATTCGTCGAGTTATGAATATTTTCTTGATGCGAAAAATGAACGCATAGTCTAAGTAAAATAAAATTTTACGGTCTTCTCAGCGCTCAAATAGAGCAGTGTTAAGTATGAATGCTTCGGATAAAAGATATTGTTTAAATAAAGTGCTTTGATAATCAACATTGAACCATTTGAGCAATTCTCACGAATATTGTCCTAAATATGCATTTAATTTCTCAACTCAAAAAACGCTCATAACTCGACGTCTAGGGGCGCTCGGCAGATAATGATGACAGATTTGGAATCAGCGTTTGATGCTCTTTATAGTCGTATCAATTTCATTTGAAAAGGCCACTTCGACCGAAAACACCTCCCTTGTTATAGGGGCCTGCAGGATCGCGAGAGTCGGACGTGCGTACGACCATTGCGCGGCGCACGTCAGATGTGCGTCCGACGACTCAGAGGTGCCAGACTTTTCCTGTTGAGCAGCTTCATTCGGTCCACCATCTTTGCTGTTGGACAGTGTAGTGATGTGACCTATGAACCGAACGAACCGGCTGAAGCTGATAAGTCTGGCAATGGCCTTGGTGACATCGGACTTGCGCGGCGCAGTGGCCGTTTGCACGTCCGACTCTCGCGATCCTGCAGGCCCCTATAGCACTGTTGTGTTAGATAGATAGTGCAACTTTGAAAAGTTTTCGTTAACTTCGAAAAAAAATGACTTTAAAAAAAGGGCCGGGGATTATCAGGGATTATATAAAAGCTGGGATATGCGGCTTGTACAGCTTCTCGCTCCTGTACAATACGTTCATAGTGAAGAAAAGTAGGAATACTTGCGGACAGGATGACAGCGTAAAATCTAGATATCTGGTGCTTCAGAATATGAAGCTTTCTTCTGAGCTGCGATCCCCCCCCTCGGCGGAGATGTTAGTGCATGCGGCCTTTAGTCCTTGAGAAAATCATTTACTTGCTGCGAGCTGAAAATCTCGCGATTTCAGGTCAAACTCTCAAAGAAAAATCGCAATTCCACAGAATTTTGCTTCATGAAGCCTTTGGTCAAAGAACAGATCAAGTTAGCAGCAGAAAAAAGAAGAAAGAAGAATGAAAGAAACCATCAAAATATTGAAAAAAGCTGGAACTGAAAATGAAATCAAAAGGGAGAGAACGCAGAAAAGTTGACCAGGGGGAAGAAACCGGGAACAAGAAGAATTTACTAGTCTGAAAGAAAAAACGTAAGGTAAGAGTGGAATTGGAGCTGAATACTACGCATCACAAGAGTTTGGCATTAGAGCGCGATATTTAACAGGGCGATTTATGAAGAAATTAAGGCAAAAAACCAAGTAAAGGTAGTAATGTGAAAATTTTCATGCTCAGGGATAGACTTTTGACCGGAGAATCCGTCCATGACAGAAAAATCAAAACTTACGTGAAATGACAGGAATGTATGCTCCAGACAATCTCAGATCGTCTGGTGACTCTGGAGACGGACTAATTTTGAAAAAGGTAATACTTCAAATAAGTTTTCGAATCTATTTGCATAATTTTTTTGCAAAAAAATTTCTATGTATACAGTCCAGTTTTGGTGTCATATGATTCTGTGTGCGCTGTAAACAAACAATTTGTTTATTTTAGCCTTGCTTTCAAATTGCGCGCACTTTTCGTCGTACACGACAGAGCATGTCAATCGTGTGAGAACCTGTCCGAAAAGCTTGCGTTTGCTAAACTGCGCTTATTTTTAGTGCTCGGCCCAGAGCCCGGCACGCGTTGGCTTGGACATTTTTGGAAACGAAGTCCCCCATGATTTCGAGAGTCCCTCTTGACGTAAAAATCAGCAGGGAACCCCATTCCCTGATTTAAGGATGAACCTATTAAACCTCCACGTCATAGCATTGTTTTTCGTACTCTCTCGCTATAGGCCGTCCGCGCTGCGCACGGACAGCAACGCTATTGCGTCCATCGAAGACGGTCTATGGCTGGAAGAAGCGCAGAGAAAACAGTTGGCGAGAGAGCACGGGGAAAGAGGAGTGACGCGCAACACACACCTTGCGCACACTCCACGCCCTGCGCGGACGGCCTATATCAAAAACCGCCACGCATTGAGTTGGCAAAACCCCGCCTCTACGCGAATCGTGGAGTAGATGATATCTAATATAACAAAAATTTAATACAACAAAAAAGCAAAAAAGATAAGATTTCGACTATATTAGAGGCCCTGCCATTGGGTATGGTACCATTTTAGTGCTTACAATGTCGAAAACCTCCTAAGCCAACCAAATCTGTGGCATCAACATCTGGAGTTGCATTTCTCGTCACATAGTTCAAAGGACACCGCATGTGATTGGAGCGAGATATCTACCAGTGCGTACGTTTACACTATTTTTGACTCAAAAAAGTTGAGAGGCAATGGTTTGATTCGCTGTCTTCACTGCGTGATAGATTTTTGACCGTTCTAATCGTTCAAATCGAAAAGGTCTAAAACTTATGTGAACTTTCTGATATTTATGCTCCGAACCAACCCAGTTGGTTTGGTGTTGGTCTAGAAAACAACAAATTCGGGAATGGATATTTGGACACATAAGTTTTTGGAACGTTTTACATAACATAGTTTGAAGCATCATTGTATACACACTGCCCAGATTCGGAGCCATGTGTGTGTTTGAGTGTCGCTGTGAACAACCCATGTGTTTGTTTGAGTCTTGCGTTTGAAATTTGCGCGCTCGCGAAGGGACACGTTCAACTCATAAAACCTGACATGTTTGTCGTATCTTTGTTACTTTCGTTAATTTTTAGAGCGTTTATATATTAGGTCATTCCGAAAGTATTGTCTCTTTTTTCAAATGAACGCCACAGTTCGTGGAATGAAAATTTCTAAGAGTTTTTGGTTGCATTCGATGCAGCATTTCATCCTATTTCTAATGATTGTAAAATCTTTGCAACAGTTTTAGTGAACTCTCGGAAAATAAGCAAAATCCGCGACCCATGCTTTTTGAGATGGTCAAGTTTCGCAACTTTTCTCACCTTTTATTTCAATCTTCCGAAAGAGTCCGTGTAACGATTCGATAGAGCAAACCTTAGAGGACACAACACACCTTTTTTCTCTTTTCCAGATCCCGCCATGATTTTTCAAGCGATTTTTTAACAAAGGCATTGGATTTTGGCAGGCCTACGTCAGCCACAATCACATCAAAAGTCAATAATTTTTCGGAATTTGAAGCTTCCCAAACGGTACCATAATTTAACACTAATTTTACAAAGCAAATGAGAAGTTGCAGGTTCAAAATATCAAATTTTGAACTTTTCGCGCACAGCCTTGGGCACATTCAAAAACACGAGTTATGATGATTTTGTACCCGAAGACTCTACTAATCGGAAGCAGTAAACACCCGTTAGAAAGAGAAGAAAAAGCTGCATCGAATAGCACCCGAGCTGCTCTCCCTTCGATGTTGTGCAAGATTTTACTTGACCAAATATGGAATTTGGTAGCATCTGTTAAAATTCTTTTAGAAAAGTACGACAAGCTGTAGAGAGAAGAAAAAAATTGTTTTGTATTCTGTTAGGTTTGCTCTATCGAATCGTTACTCTGTCTCCTTCGGAGGACTGAAACAAAAACTGAGAAAATTTGCGAAACTTGAGCATCTCAAAAAGTATGGTTTTGGTTATTTTCCGAGAGTTCACTGAAACTGCTGCAAAGATTTTATAACCGTTGGAAAGAGGATGAAATGCTGCATCGAATGCCACCAGGAACTCACAAAAACCTTTATTCCAGGAACTGTGGCGTTCATTTGAAAAAAAGCGACATTACTTTCGGAACGACCTAATATTTTGCATATGCAAACATGAAGACTTTTGGAAAAGTTATTTCAAAAAATACTAACAAGCCAGCTGGAGAATGCCGAAAATTGCTTTGCACTGCACTTTAGTTACGGTGACTGCTATCGAAGCTCTTCCAAAAGTTCGAAATGCAGGGAAAACTGTCAAAATTGGACATGGGAAAAACTATGGGTTAGAAATTTCGGCGATTATCTTAGTGATCACAGAGTAACCAGCGCGGAAGCATTATCGCTAAAAAGAAAGGGAAAGCTGCGTGAGATAGTGTCTAAACCGTCTGCCTACCTTTATTTCATGAGTTTCATGACAGACCGAAAAACGGAAAGAACTTTCCGGAACTACCTAATATAGCTGATCCTTGTCATATACTGTGAAGAAAGCTTTCACATCTAATAAATTGTTTTTTGATTTGGATTCAAGAAACTTATTGAAGAGGCAATAAAGCTTACATGAATACCCAAAAATTCGCGGAGTATGTGTTTTTTGATGGTACACAGTTTGTGTTAATAGTAAAGTTGACTGGCACATACTGTTGTACATCATAGCGCTCCAAGATCTTAGTGATATCCTGAACGATAGCTAAATACTATTAATAATTTGCTTCGCTTCATCTTTTACCGTTTCAGTGCAGCTTCTTGGCATGCATACAGCAATTTTTGGGCCAATTTGCCCCATTGGAGGTCCTTCCTGTCGTGCGGGTTTATGAAGATTCAGTTATGCATTCTGACAACTGGTTGCATACCATTACTACACTGGCAGCCACATAACAGTACTGCACCTTGTATGGTGCCACTACATCCATGCATTCCGAGTACGATCCGGTGTTGATTATCGTGTAGTCCATTATTCCTGCCGGAATCTTGCCAAAAGCATCAATTTCTAAACAAGTAAACTCGAGAATCCAATGGATGCTTTGTAAGCCATATATTTGGTTTTCTTCACAGAAACCTAGAGTAGAAAACCTAGACAAATAAATTCGTTGTTTCAAAGTTATCGCTTGAAGTACACTTTTGTGCGGAATGTCCATAAAACTTACGTTTTACAGCAAAAATGTGCTCGTCGAGTGCCGTCTGCTGGACTTCGGTACATCCTCCAGTTCGCTGACATGCCACGAAGGTCTGCGCGTAAGTGTTCAAACTTGATGTGAACACATTGACGTCCGTTAAGCATTGCTCCGATACATCCGTTAAGTTCAGTATCTCTGACGGATCGATGGGACGAACTGGGAAGGGGAATGGAAATTGCTAAATTGTTGAGATCAGAGTCTCTTTGTTTCTTAGGCAAAATAATTTACAAAGGCATGCTTTTTAACAACAACCATATTCTAAGGGTTGTTATCAACGAGTTCGTGTCAAGCCGGTATTTAATCGGTTTTATGTCTCATATCTTTTTAGCCGCTGTATTTTACTGGTTTGGGACGAACATTGTACTTTTCCGTTATACTGGCACATTTTTTCAAAAGGCACTCATAAATTACGTTCTCTAGCCTAAGAACAATAATTTGTAGATTCTACGAGACTGCCTCCCCGCCACGTGTCAGGAAAAAATTGGCACGTTTTAGTACATTTTGAGTTGTTTTTTTTTTCTTTCGAAATCATTTCCGACGAGGTGAAAGAGCGTTTATGACCACTTAAAATCTTTTCAATTGTTTTCTACAAGAGCAAAACTATCTAGAACTTATCCTATCTTTATCTTGATTGCTTTCAGCAATAATTCAAAATCATCTTTTTTTTCTTCAAAAGTTCCGCCTTGCGAATTTAGTCAGAAGAGACTAAAAATGGTGGTTTACAGCATCTCGCTGCTGCTTGTTTCGCCACTTGGATAATGGACTCCTAGCGCAATTCTTCATTCTGAGCAAGTCTAATCTGTTCAATGATACAAATGACGTTATTATTATGATAGTGTTCATTTCTGAAATTGTTTAGTCGAAAATAGGGTCATTATTGACTAAAATACAGATTGAACTATTTGCTAGGTAGTGCAGAACAAAACCCTGATAAAACCTGTTGAATAGATACAGACATATACCTTGACACATGGAAGGAGGAAACTCCTTGCTGTGAATATGCGACCAAAGATTGCACAAGATCAAGAGAAATATCCTTCTTTGAAAGGTCTGGATAAATGGAAAAGTACCCGAAAATTCTTACGTAATTCGAAGAAAATGCATTAGTTTTCTGAATCAGAAAGATAAATTCACTATTTTGCTTTTTGAATAACAGATTCTTTGCGCTCTATGTCAGGTGTTCAGGGAAACTCTCCATAGGGAAGCCACTGAGAAGGAAACTTTTAAGAATGGTGTTTGAATTTTAAGATTTTGGGGAGCCAGGAAATTGTAGAGAGCGTTATCTAGCTCAAAAAATCTGCAATTTACAGCGGTTATTCGCAGAGCACTGTAGCATACTATGATCTCGTATTTATACAAAAAATTTCGTGAAAAACCTGATCTTATCAATCCCTCTGCATAATGACATTTTTCAGTATTTTTGTTTTTGCATTCTCATGCGAGGTTAAGGTTTGTCGCACTAGAGTAGAACTAATGCTCTGCTAGAAATTTTTATAGACTTTTCAGGACTAGTTCGTAGCCTTTCAGCAGCGATTCAGTTCCAAGCTCAAATCAGAAAATCGGAGATCCCAAGCTTCGTTCTCAGTGTCTAGTTTGCAAGATATTGAGCTTAAACTATCACAAAGCTCTAGCTTTCATTACATATTTTTAGAAAGCAAAATAGTTTTAATTCAAAAATGCTAACTCTTTTTCGAATTACATAAGACTGCGCCAACTTAATACTGGGTTGAAGCAAAAGTTTGTCACACATTTTCAAGAAACCGTAAGCTTTCTTCCTATTTAGACTTTCAGCTCAGACAAGTGGCCGGAACTTCCACAGCACTTTCGCAGGGTTTCCGCAGGTGACCCGGCAGAAATCCTGCGAAAGCGCTGCGGAAACACTGCAATCTCAGGGTGCAGGATTTCCGCAGTACTTTGTTTGGAGCTCCGCAGCACTTTGCGGTTTTCGCTTTTGATTCGCGATCAATTTCTTCCATATCAAGCTTCCTTTTTAATACTAGGTTTTCCTTTCCAATACTAGGTTTTTGCTTTTTACTAAGGCATTATTTCTTTGATGTGGAAATTCCTCTAGACCTTCTAGATGCTAAAAGACGTAGACAGTGAGATAGGTTTAATGAGAAAGCAAAGGGCACAGTGTATTGTTTTATGCAGGTACCACAATATCAATATAGAATCACAATAGGCCGAAGTTGACAATTGCAAATGAACAGATCAATGAAGTGTTTATAAATAAATATACACAGAATCACAGAAACATTCGAGTATATATGCATAACCGAATAAGGTTGGAAAAATGGCAGATATTAGGAATCAAAGAGCAATGGGAAAATAAACCGTTTCCATTTATCGGGTGTCATTTTGAACTTGTCCGCGTGATTGGAACCGGCCTCCCTTCCTTTCTGTAATGAGAGTTAATTGAAATTTCTTGATGTAAATCGTACCTTGCTGCTAGCGTTCAATTTGCAACTTCTTCGCCAAGAAATACGGAGCAAATTTGGGCGATTCATTTAAAATTTTGGGAAATTTTGAAAAAAATTCTGAGACAGATTTGAAAAATTACAAGAGTTTTCTGCAAAAATCAAGGCTTCACTTTGAATTTTTTTAAATTTTCAAATTTGGAGCGACAGAACTTTTGTTTCATTTTAATATTCCAGCATTTTTTACACAAAACAGGTATGTGTCAGACTCCAAGGTAGGTATGTGTAAGTGAAAGTTATTATAAGTTGATGTTGAATTTTCATAAATTAATACTTAGAAAATGATACTGAACCAAAAGCTCGTCCCCATCCTTTTCAAAAATTCGAAACTTCCTTCCTTCACATCCGATCTGCACATGTTTATTTTGAAAGAAGACATGCTCTTTCTAATGGTACCTGAGGCACTTTTGATAGCTCCAGAGATCGAAGTCGGTGAAGAAAATTACTCCATTTTAATGTTCCCCATGTTTGGTCGCAAAAATCTGCTTGCAGGAAATCGGAGCAATCGGTATCATAGCTATTATTACCTACTCATCTTGAGTGTACAAAGATTGCGCTGATTGAACCTCCCTTAAAGGCAGCGTCCAGGCAAATCTGGACACATGGAGATCTCACGTGGATAATAATTTTGGAGCCCTAGCGAAGCCACTGCCCAACCGGCAGCTCATTTGGTGCTCTACCGGCTGAGATATTCGCATCGAAATTGGACCCCGCGATCGTATTTCGCATGCATTCATGGCGAAAAGCGTGGATCCTGACGCGAAACTGCCATGAATTCATGCGAATACGATCGCGGGGTCCAGTATCGAGGAAAATGTCTCAGCCGTTAGGGCACAAAATAAGCTGCCGGTTGGGCAGTGGCTTCGTTAGGGCCCCAAAAGTACTTTCCACGTAAAATCTCCATAGGTCCAGATCTGCCTGGACGACCTTTAAAAAGTTATGATTTTTGAAGCTGTAAGAAAGGGTAAATATGGTCTTTTGTCGATCATAACTTTTCATAAAGAGGTTCAATCAGCGCAAACTTGACACCGTCAGAAAGAGCAGGCTATGAAACCTATAATGCTCCGATTTCCTTTTTTTGCGAGTTTCAGTTTTGCGACCAAATGCAAAAATTTTGAGAATGCAGTAATTTTCTCTCCCAGCTTCTAACTCTGGAGCTCGCTTCCATTAAAAATTATTTCAGGTAGGTACTATTGGAAAAACGAATTTGAAAATGAATAATTGCAGATCCGTTGAAGATGTAGGAAGTATTTGGAAGAGAGAAAAGCATTCAAAACAGCAAAAACAGAGGAGCAGAAAAGTTTAGATAAATTGAAGCAGTGGCGGTGCAATAAATTTTTTCAAAGGAGGGGGGGGGGACAAAAATTAATTGGGTTTGTGGGGGTGAGCAAAAGGATAGACAAGAGAAAAGGTAGAAAAAGATAGACACAAAGGCAGGGGAGGGAGGGACTGCAAATTTTGAGTTCGTGGGCGTGTGGCCACTTTCAGCAGAAGAAAATGCAGGAGTGGTTGAATTTTTGCAGTTACAATTTTTATTTCGCCTCGATTTTTTAGCACAGCTACATCGAACATTATCCACTACTATTAGGTGGGACCAAAACTACGTTCGCCAGTTCTTCAAAAAATCATAATTTCCTCTCGACCCGATGGACCTCTTTGATTTTATATTTATCTAAAAGAAACTCTCTTTTACAAAGGTATCTCTGCCATGAATTGGCTTAAGAAAGTTCGCGAGTTGGAAGCGATTTAAAAAATTACTCAAGATTGGCATATTTTAACAGGATCACCAAAACCTCCTACTAGCTGAGAGAAATTCTTGCCAATCGAAAGCAATTTTGATTTTCGTAGAAAATCAGATCCGAAAACTCGGTTATATTCCGAAAATCAAAATTGCTCTCGACTGGCATGAATTTCTCTCAACTAAAAAGAAAAGGTCACTAAACCCATGTTCACATGACTTTCCCGTCCCTCCCAACGCAAAACTGCTGGGCCGGTAGTAATCCCCCCGACCTGGCGGCAGGTCTGGTTGGCAGCTCGCTGCCACCTTTCCGCGAGGTTGCCAGAAATTAAGAATCGAAATTTAGGCCGTCCCAGGCCTTTTTTCAAAAAATTTTCTCGATAAAGTTGCCGCCTCGACTCTGTAGAAGACTTCATAAAAATCTGCGGCTCCAGAACTCCTCCTCTAGTAAGATATCTGGAATTCCAGGAGGAGTTGCCGGCAACTTCGCGATGTCAGTTGCCGGCAACCTGCCGGCAAGTTGGCGGAATCCGCGAGATGGCAGCTGCCGGCAGGTCAGAGAGCACGGGAAATAGCGTGCTCTTTTGAGAGAGGGACCTGCCGGCATCTCGACGTGCCCCTACCACGTCGAGGTGGTGGCACCTTTGCCGCCGGGGTCTGTGAAATTGCGTTATGGACAGTTGCGGACAACGCCGTGCATCTGCCTCGTTATCATTGTTAGACTCGTATTTTCCTCTTGTTAGCTTTCGCCGTTTCCGTTGCATTGGCAATGTGTTTATCGCCTTTATCACTGATTTGTTTATTGCAGGTGGCCCTTTGGGGCTCGGGCCACCCAAGGAGCCCCTCCCCATCTTCCGCTGGGGCCTTTTCCGGATTAGTGGTTCACTTGGAGATTACAGTCCAATGAGCGACTGACTATGTATCTGATTCGGATACATAGTCTGTGGCAAACTACCGATTGTTGCAGGTAAATACATTGTTGTTGTGTTGCTCCGTCTTTTTTTTCTCAATAAGTCTTCTAATGTTCACTTATTTCCCTTGCTTTTCATCATTCGTATATTACCCGTAAAAAGCTCTAAAACGTCGAGATCAATATCAGGCAGGTTTCGAACCGCGCCGGAACTCGCCTGTACTCGTCGCAGTGCGGTATCGAAGTTAAAGGAAACAAATGTCCTAAACCAATAAAGACGTGGGCGCAGTGCGGTGTCGAATTTAAGATATTGCAGCAGCTGAAGAAGTATGTATCTGTCTTTCTTTTTTAATCTCTTATTTTTTTGTTGGGGAAAGAATGTTATGATTTTAGGCACAACTTCGCTAAACCTCCGCCGATCCAAGCACAAGCAATTCCTTGCATTATGGCCGGACCTGATCTAATTGGTATCGCAAAGACAGGATCAGGGAAAACGCTTGCTTTTCTTTTATCAATGTTTCGACACATTCTTGACCATCTTTGGAGGAGAGTTTGACATCTGGGAAGCTTTGGAGCGGGTTTGTTTTTGAGTTTTTCCTTTTTTGTTTTTGTGTTGGTTTATGTTGCTGCCAAAGCCTTCCAGTCTGCGCATTGTTAGTCAGAGATTATCTTAAGATAATTAACAAAACATGCTTCCTCACTATTTGCTCATACCAAAGAAAGTAATAACGGCTAGGTTCACTACGCGCAACCTTTTGGTGGCGTGTGTTGTGTTGTGTTTACAAGCAGTATGCTTCATGTATCTTACAGGCGCTGTTTCATTACCGATTTGGGAGATGGCGACTTGAATTCTACAATGTGTGTTCTCATAAATCCTAGTCCGGGAATTTACCCGGAGTATATACTCTGCCATTGCTGGCTATGCTAACAAAGTAAGTTTTATTTGTGAAATCCCCAGATTTTATCCCCTATGCTTGATTGCAGTGCTATCTGATGACTCAGACAGTTTCGAAGGTGTTTGAGAAAACTTGCGCCGAATATGATGATGGCCGTAAAGCTATAGAGGATGGGCAAGAAGAGGTACCCATTTCAATGTAAGATTCGTATGCCATGTATATCTTTATTTCTACTTGATTTACTTTTTTTCGGCTCAAATGTGTTGTCGCTACATATAGCATTCTCACCATTTTCAGATACGTCGTGAAAAAATGCCCAAAACCGCACTGCGCAGCGAAGAAGATGCTAGGAAAAAGAAGGAAAATGCGGTATGAGATATTTTCTTTCAGTTATTTTGCTCCGCTGATGATATTTTGGGTTCTTAACTTTTAGCTGGGTACAATTCAAAAAATACCATTCTAACCAAAGTAATCAAGCAATCGAAAGCAAACGAAGCGAACAGAGACGCGCTGTTGGCGTCACTAAAAGCAACAAAAGAGGAAAAGGTGAGATTTTTAGGAAATTTCATCAATCTTACGAGATTTTTGAATTTCTACTTTTTTGTGTGTTTTTCGTAGACCCACCTTATGTCAGTATGTGGGTTGTCCTTTTTTTTCCAATTCTAACCTATCATGGTATCGAAGGAGATTTTCTGTTGGCGTCATTTCAATTTTGGAATAGACGTTAGACCATTGCACTATACCATTATATTATAAAGCGGAGTTTCGGAGATATGGCAGATAGAGCTTCTACAAGGCACTTACTTTTCCTCTAAGTAAATTGGTTTACTCATTTTCCGAAATGACTCCCTGTACATGGTTCATAGTCGATCATTATCGTCCATTATCGCATACCTGCCATAACTCTAGAACTCGTCATTATAAACATTATGGTGCCATTTGACTTCATCACCGGTCTGAACTTCCCTGGGGTTTGAGTGTGGCTCATGACCACGAATATTGAAGTAGCGTTAGCCTCGGGCAGGGTTGTAGCGATTTCATCGTCGCGATTCATCACTACAAGACAAGTGTTGCAACTTGATCGCATGCTGATCTTCTTGTATTTCGGTTGCGATAGTTAGTCATGAATAGTAGTGGTGGAAGACTATGGCAATCGAAATGGTAGAAGATCGGCATGCGATGAAGTCGTAAAACCTGTCTTGTCGCGATGAATCGCGACGATGAAATCGCTACAACCCTGCCTGTGCGTGGCGTAGCGTTTCCAGCGCGAGGAGATAAAAACGTCTCCGGAAGAACTGCAAAGGGAAAAGGATTACATCCCCTGCAATCTTACAATGATATAACAATGCATCCTTCCCCTACAGCCAGAGAATCTATGACAACGTCAAGTCGATGTCAATCGTCGAGCAAGCATCAAAAGTGCTGAACCAAATGTGAGATTGGCCACTGCTCGTATAATGTAGACTATCCTATTCACTATCAAGAACTCTCTCTTCAGTGCTAACGAACACAAAACCCAATGTTTGTTTCAGTTGTTCGAGACTATCACCCACAATCCAGTGATCAAAAAAGGAGATCTGATGGCGTTAACGTGCCGTTTAGACTCACACGACAAAAAAGTTGCAGTGTCTATGGGGTGGGTCTCCCTTCTCTTTTCTTTCTTGGTCTTTGCTAGAATAAATAGCTGAACAAATATTTATAACTTTTTTTGGCCGGTCTAGTATCTGCGAGGTTAAACAATGGCCTTGCAGATGGATCCTGAGCTCATTTTTCATCCTTTTAGATCGCTTTCAAAATCTGATCAAATAGCGCGTTTGTACGTGGACTGATTTCTTTGATGAGGGACACACTCGAGGACAGGCGCGCGGAAAGAAAAGAGGAAATGGCGTGATTTGCAGATACTATATGCCACATGGAATCCATGTAGACCGGGATGGCTATTTGTACACTATAGACGTGGGATCGCATACTGAAGCCAAATGGAGGATTAATGGAAACGGTGAGTTTTGTAGCGGGTGGTCTTTGAACTTTAGGGATTTTGAACGATGTTATCACATCTTTTGTACTTTCTCTGGTTTCTTTTGTGCAAACTTTTTTCTTTTCTTATTAAGGTGACGGACTAACGGATACAGCAACATCGATGAATCTGTCGCTGAACACTGCGTGGAGTCAACGCTGGGATTCTAGACTCCAGTGAGCAGTCCTTTCCCGGTTTTTTTTTTCATACTGTTAACGATTCACTTTCGGGAATTTCATCGGCGTGGCTAAGGAGTCTGCCAAGAGCTCGCCACCACTGAGGAGGGAGGAGGATTTGGGAGGGAGGAGGGCCCAAAAATTGAAGGTTTGTCTTCTCTGGTCTTCTCTGTAATCTTACCCGGGAAAGTACTTTTAGAGGTAGTGGTCGCTTGATACGAGATGAATATCATGTGGATCAGTTTTTCATGGTGATGTGAAACTCACATTCTCTTTCTGCGGAACCCTCTGAAAGTACTTCCCTTATTAGATATGCTAGTGTTCGACCCTACGAGTGAACAGTGGCGACTTGCGTACTTCGCCGCAGACAGGAAGTCCAGAGAGGGCGAGGCTCGCCCTCTGTGTGGGATGGAACGTCCCAAATGAGAGTCGCATCTGCAAAAAAATACAAAACTTTCCACAAAGAAGAAGCGATTCGCGCGATAAGTCGTGTCGCTGGTGTAACACCAGCACGCGGGCGGGAAGTATGCCTTAGGCCTAATGAAATCCCAAAATCCCCTTGTCCATAGCTGCCTGTGACTGAAGTTGGTTTGAGGATCTGGTATAGAAATGTGCGCTTGCCAATTTCAGGCAGGTGGCGTTATGGAGACGGGTGGAAACACGCGAGCATCAACGAACAGAAACATAAAAAAACAGAAACAAAAACACTTTTTTATCGCTGTATCACTCACACATTTGGTGTTTCCGAATCAAAAACCTGTCACTAACCCAAATTCTGAATGACAATGAAGGATTTGATTAGTAGTGGAAAATTCGTTATGATTTTCAATATCAATACCTTGTAAACCCTGCCCAATCCGATGTACACATTTGCAACTAATTCTTTAGAGTCTTGTTGAACGCCGAAAGGCAAGAATTGTCTTTTCGTCATGGCCCCGGACGAAAAGGATGTCATAGTCGAGGAAGTGTTGAAAAGGAGAAATCTCCTATGGGACAGATCCGGCACTAGGGAACCCAACTGTAACCACAAAAGGACACAGGCTTGGAAGGAGATACGAAGAATCGTTTTTGAGAAGTGTGACAAAGAAATGAGCATTGAGTCGATCAAAAGATGTTGGCGTGCAAAGAGGGGAAACGTCCGGGATCTCTTAATGAAAGAAAAAAAGTAATATGAATTTTTACCCGCATCTTACGCAGCCACATAACTTCTTTGTAGGTACAGATCTGCTACCGGGGGCGGGGTCAATGTCGCACTTGAACACGCGTTGAGCAAAGGAATGGCGAGCATGACGGAGGCAGACGTCAAGATAGCACGAGCCTTAGGCCCGGAGGCCTGCTTTGGCGGCCTCCGGGTCGCCGAAAGCGCAGTATGTGTAAGTAAAACCCCTCCTTTTGAGGCACGCACGTAAACGAAGAGTTTCAGGCGGCACCTCCTTCTGAAAGTAGCGCGGAATTCAGTGGATCGCAGGAAAAAGAACTCTTGAAGCAGTTGTCAACTGTGAGTCGATCACCAGTCGCTACGAATCTTCAAGTCGTTTTATAGTTTGAAAGTGATAGTGAAAGCGATGCTGACGACGATAGCCCCCCTAGGAAGCGTCGCTGCAGTGCGCAACAAGAATTGTTGGAAGAGCAAACAAAATATATAAGAGTAAGTTCAAAGTTTATCTTCGCGAGTTTCTAAGCTAAGCATTTCGCTTTGCAGGCCAAGCGCATGTACTTGGAGAAAAAATATGCCATCCTGAGCAAGGTCGACGCATTGGTCGATCGAATACAAATCAACATCAACGTTCAAACATCTCCACCCAAGCAACATCTAGGAAGCGTCGCTCCAATGCGGACGAACGTCGATAACAACATCGAGGAGTCCCTGCTATCTTAATGTTATTTAATTCTGGCATTCGTTAGTATTTACATGTTCGTTAGTCTTCAAGAACATCGATGTTATTTTTAGTCAAGTTTTTATTACTTGCATTGATGATATGATAAGATACATACAAAATAAATTACAAAACTGCTAATTTGTACCACACATACACTTATATCACTAGGTCATATGGAAAGTTTTTTCGTTTTCGCATCATCGGCTTTGAACAAGCACAGCTTCTTCCACGTTCAAGTTTCTCCCACAGAATAAACTTCATTGCGAAAGTGGCTTATAAGGGGCATATGTGTATTTTCAAGGCCTGCTGATAATTTTTATGCGAGGATATCTCCGGTTAGCTTTGAAGGACTGAGATGCCCGAATATAAGGTAGCAACGCCCCCCGTCTAATATCGCGTTTTCGCAATTTCGATGGGATCATCAGAAACTAGAAAACCCCCTGTCGGTCTTTTTCCACTCTCCTTTGATAGGCCGCTGACACCACCAAGCGGAAAAAACGAAACATTCCCTAATAACCTAATATAGCAGGAACTGTGTAAACACCCACAATAGTCGAAATTAGCAAACGGGCCCTCTAAAGAGCTGGCACGAAGCTGGCACGGAGCTGGCACGGAGCTGGCACTGTCCCCAAACGCAAGAGACAGAACGCCGGAGCTGGCACGAAGCTGGCACGAAGCTGGCACGGAGCTGGCACTGTCCCCAAACGCAAGAGACAGAACGCCGGAGCTGGCACGAAGCTGGCACGAAGCTGGCACGGAGCTGGCACTGTCCCCAAACGCAAGAGACAGAACGCCGGAGCTGCCACGAAGCTGGCACGAAGCTGGCACGGAGCTGGCACTGTCCCCAAACGCAAGAGACAGAACGCCGGAGCTGGCACGAAGCTGGCATGCACCTGACACGAATTTATCCCTGTTTTGTCTACTGCAATTTGTATACAAGTACTTTCAAATTGTTACGATTTATTGCATTTTAATTACAGAATAATTAGCAACAAGAACAAGATTAACAACAACAACAACAACAACAACAACAACAACAACAACAACCTAAATCAGTAAACGGGTTAGTTCCTCCCTAATATTCGCCACCCCATTTCTGGGATGCGGTATGTGCGCAATCCTCCTACCAAGATGTCGCATGGGACGACATCTCATCGAGAGCATAATGTTGTGAAGGACAGCACAAGCCATTATGATTTTTGCCGCCTTTTCTGGATGCAAGCGCATTTTTGTTTGCAAGATCCTGAAGCAGCCCTTCCATTTCCCGAACACACACTCGACAACAACCCTCATCTTTTTGTGGGTCCTGTTAAATCGGCGTTGTGCCCGGTCTTGAGGATTCCTGTACGGGGTGAGGATCTCATTACTATTTGAGAATCCTGAATCCCCGATCAGGCAATAACCCTCCGGAACAGCTCCTTCTGCGAATGCATCATGTAGGCGGCTATATCTGTACACGGTAGCATCATGAACAGAACCTGGATAGTTACTGTTTATGTAGATGAATCTACCGTGAGCGTCGACAACGGCTAGGACGTTGATGGCGCAGAACCCTTTACGGCAATAGTATTCCCACCCTGAGTTGGCCGGCCTCAGGATGGGTACAAGTGTGCCGTCGATGGCTCCCACGATGTTCGGCAGCCTTCCCAATCGTGCGAAGCCATCGGCCTTCCTCCGGCAATAGCGCTCGTCGTGGAGTTGGCACGGAATGAACTTCTGCACTATTGCCGGGTTGTTCAGCGCCTTCACCACATCCTCCACGGCGTTCGAGACCGTCTTTTGGCAGACACCAATCGTGTCTGCCAGGACGGCTTGGTGGGCATTCGTGGCGAGGTAGCGTAGGGCGATGATTACCTGCAAATAGTTGATCAGCTACTCGTTTTTTCTAGAGAACGTTGTTAACTTTTCAACACGACTTCTAGACCCCTTTGCACCCTCCCTATCATTGCTTTTATGATTTGGCCTTCCACATGTTCTCTTTATTGTGAACGCAAAATCGAAACCCTAAGCGGGATTCGAACCCTCGATGTCTGGCTTGAACTGCCGACTGCTTAGCCACTAGGCTATTTCCGACTCTACGAACCACTTTGTGGAAAAGGCAATCGAAAGAAAAATGCCACATGACTGCGCTCATGTACTGCTTATCTCTTTATGTTGCTTCAATAAGAGTACTGAAGAATGTTCATGCAACTAACCTTGTTCTCAACGTCCACGCTCCAATTGTCGATGCTCTCCTGGGCCATTAAAGGCTTGAGCAGGTCGCACAGTCGTCGCAAATGAACTTCTCTCATCCGGAACTTCCTCAGAATTAGCCCTTGATTAGAGGTGAAGAGGCGAAGAGGATGGAGTCGCCCGTAGCGGATGTTTCGGTGCCTCCTGCTCGATGCGGCATACATAATGATAGGAAGCATGTCTGAATAATAAACTTGTTATTACTCTGAGGCCATGTTAATGCAGTTTGCGATAGTGTTTTTAAGAGACGAATCTGAAGAAGAGTAGAATTTATACAAGAATCTGATGAAATAAGCAATGAAAACAAGAAAAAAAGACCGAGGCCGTCTTGGACAGGATACTTCGAAGTCCAAAGTATACCACTAGTGGTATCTATCCTGTTCAAGCACAGGATTCGGAAATTCTAACATACCCCAGCGGTGTTTTCTATGTCCAAACCATGTGTCGTGTAGTCGAGCGGTTAGTGCGCCAGAGTTCCAAGTTGGTGCGTACAAGTTCAAACGCGCGTGGTGCGGATGTTTTGCGGCGGCCCGGCAAATCCAAGCATTCCTTTATCGTTCGCTTCGCCACCACACACAGCGTGCGTGTGGTCGATCGGTTAGTGCGCCGGCGTTCGCGGTCAATGCATGCAAGTTCGAGGGCGCGCAATGCGAATGTTTTGCGGAGGTCTGCCTGAGATCAGTCCGCGAGCTGCCGGAGGAGTTGGCATCTTTCCGCGATGTGTGCCAACTTGCCGGCATCTATGATGCCACCAGGTAGGGTAGATTACTACCGGCCCTGAAGTAATTTTCTTTATTTGCTTCTAATTCTCAATCTTTTTTGTTTTTGGAAAAGGTACTGTGGTAAAGAGGTTATCTATCGAAAAACACTTTCAGAATATTTTGGTGACTCTGCTTGAAAAATGCCAATTTTGAGTAATTTTTTTCAATTGCTTCTAACTTTCGAAATTTTTTTTGCCAATTCATGGCTAAAGTACTGCTGTAAAGCGAATGATTTCCCCTCTTAGATGATTACAAACGCAAAGAGATCCATCGAGTCGAAAGGAAGTTATGATTTTTTGAACTGGCGAACGTACTTTTGGTCTCACCTAATACTTTGAATCTGAAAATTTTTGAAAATATTTCAATATTCACCAAGAGCTTGTAGATCACTTTGAAAACTTCGGTGACCCATTATTCTCTTCCCCCCCCCCCTTTGTTTTGTATATACCCAATCACTTCTGCTTCATTTAGATCCAGTTATTTTCTACAAAGTGATAGTTTTAAATTACTTTCGTTATTATCTTAATCAAAGCACATAAAGCAAAGAAGTTCGACACACCTGAACACACCTGGGCGTTGTGCTTAGACGGAGTCCCTCCGTTGAGTCCTTTTTCAGCACTCTAGCAGCTTGGTGATGGTTGTTCACACACCTACACCGATGCCTGAAAGTATACTTAGAATATGGATGAGTATAGGTTTACTTACGCCAACATTGAAAAAAGAAAGGAAAAAGAAAAAGAAAAGATGAGGAATAGAAGAGAAACAGTATGGGATTGCGCTATGCACTGTTGATGTTGCGTTCGCTACTTCGCAAACGCGAATGCATGCGCTCTCAAAGTCCTGCGGAAATGCTGACAGGTCAAAGTGCTGCGGAAACCTTACGAGCCTCACTGCACTTTCGCAGCGCTTTATGTAAAGTGCTGCGGCAGTTCCGGTTTACGGTCGCTGTGACGTCAATTTCCTGCGGAAACCTTGCATTTTGGAGCGTGCACTTTCCCAATGGTTAAGAAAGTGCTGCGGAAACGCTGCAAGTTCTGCTTGTCCTGCGGAAGTTGCGGTGAATTGTCGGAGAGAGCAAGTCAACCAATTTTATTGAAGTCTTGTTTACCCTTTATTTATCTTTAGATGCGGAAATAAAAATTTAAAACGAATATTTTGAGGTTTTATGATTTAAGGATACCCTTTGATCTTGAAGTGTGCAGTAAAATTCGGAAGTGTCAAGAAATTTTTCTATCCTCATCTTTTTAGCTGAGCAAATTTCGTGACGAATGAGATCTTTGTTGAAAATTCATGAATTTCGAGAACAGTAATTCAACATTGATCTTACCAATTTGGGTTGGTTTCTCGGAAATCATAATTTATCAGAGGAAAGGTCGATCATAACAAACTTTGCTCATCTAAAAGAAGAAGGTGAACTTACTTCTTGATTGGTTCAGAATTGTCCAGTTTTTAGATTTCTAACGGGATTGCCCCAAATCAACCATAGAAGGTCTCCTTCTTCCATTTCTCTTTGTAGCAATTTCATAGAGTTTACACAAAATGCTATTGAAGTGCATGGTGCTTTTTTAAAATCAAGTGTACGCAAGAATATCGTGATGGAGAAAACTTAGTAACTTTAGAAAGTTTGCGACAGAACTTAATACAACATAAGACTGCATCAAGCATCTTGAGGATTAGTTTTGAGAAAAAGTTAACTTTGCAGAAAATTTTCTGAGATATGAAAGAAAGGTCTTACTCCGAGCAAAGCGTAGAAGGGTTGCGTAATTCCCGCAAAAATTAGAGTATGGAATAATAGCATAGTGTTTGCCATAATGTTTCACAAGTGACTGTATACTTTCTTGATAACATGGCACTAGCATTCCAAAGATAACCTGTAAATAGCGAAATCTCGCATTTTAATCTCTTTATCAATCTGAAACGTAAAAAAAAAACACTATGGGAGAGAATACTATAAAAACACAGACATCTTAGATAGATATGAAAGTCCCAAATTTGTTTCGTTGACGCAAAAATTGTACATCTCTAATCTTAGCAAGTCCTGCGCTAAGCTGTATCCGGACTAGTGGACCAGTAGTCAAAGTTGCTAGATTTGCATTTGCGCGCTTCGGGACCACACCGCGGTTTTCCGCTTTTTGGTGTTTT